GGGTGGGTGGGGGGTGAAGGAGTGTAAAGAGCCCAGTATTTTCTAGGACAGTCTCAGCCCCAAAGTGAGGAAAACCTGGTGACAGGTGGGGTGAAGTGGCCCTGGCCTCGGCAGGAGCGGGAGGGAAGACGTCTGGGTACTGTCATGCAGTTTAAGCCAGTGGTGGCGAACCTGTGGCACACGTGCCACATTGGGCTGTTTGTATCATTGAAAGCTCTGAAAGGTTCGCCACCACTGGCCTAAGCCCTCAGGACCAGACAGCCCACAGCAGGGGGAGCCACAGTGTACAAGGGAGTGGAAAGTCACAGCCCCAGGATGGAGCTCCAGCCCGAAGGCCCTGAGTCTCCAGGGACCATGGCCCCAGGGATCAGTCTCAGCCCAACCAGGACCCACAATGAGCCACGGTGCCAGTGCACTGACCAGGCCCCTCCCACCCAGCATCTGGCACTTGAAAGCAGGGCCAGCTCCATCTGGACTTCATAAGGTGACACCAGGGTTTCAGATCCCCTTTTTGTCACCACACCACACCACACGACTGCTCCTCTTTCCTGCTCAAACCATGCTAGTTAATGTGATTCCATTCTAGTTTAAATACACACACACACACACACACACACACACACACACACACACACACACACCCCTCTCTGTAATTTCCAGGTCTTTTAAAAAAAAGATTTTGTTTGGGTTTTTTTGTCTTGTGGTGTTGGGGATGGAACCCAGGGCCTTGTACATCTTGTGTATGGAAAGCACGTGTTCTACCACTGAGCTACCTCCTCAACCCTGCATTGTTTTTTACTTCCTATCTTTTCACAAGTCATTTGGAGAAAACTTCATTTTGTTACCTGTAGCAGATCTTCACTGAGGACTTCTGTTTTCTCAGCTCTGTGGGGGAATAAAAAGTTCAGAATCAGAAATCCAGGAATGAAAAGTAACTCATGAAACTGAAGAATTCTTGGCCTGAAGTTTAAAAGAGAGTGGGCAGAAATGGACTATGGGGTTGGGGGTGGGTTCACCATTTACATCAGAGGGCAATTTAAGCAAAACCACAGAAAAACAAAAAACCCACAGGGAACAGCAAGCAACCCAACACAGGACGCAGGGCCAGGGGCAGCGGTTCTCAACTCTGAGCAAGGGAAGAGTCCCACCGGGTGCACAAACAGCATCATTTCCCAGGCAGACCCGCAGAGAGCTCTATTCGGAGGATCCTGTTCTAATTCAATAGGCCTGGAGTAAGATTCAAACCTCTCCCTGCTCACACTTCCTTTGTAGGAGGGCCACAGGTCAAGCTGTGAGAAAAGACTCCTCCCTAAAAGCTTAACTTTCCGTTCTTAAGATGACCACTTCCATGTTTCACAGCCTTACTGAAACACACTTATCATAAATCTAAAAATATTACGCAAAGCCTAGATTCTCACGCATAACACCAATTGAGTACTCCCTCTTTCAGATTTCATCCTATTTTTAACTTCAAAAAGAAAGTGTTTTCACAATTTTCCCTTTGCTATGCTTTACATTACTACTCACCCCCAAACTTTTCAGAAAATCAAGATGGTGGCCAGGAACCAGAAGGGCGTTCTCTTTCCCTTCTCCTTTTCTTCCCACATCTCCCTTCTTTCTTTCTTATTTGGTACTGGGGATCAAACCCAGGGCCTTCACACTGAGCTACATCTCCAGCCCCTTTTTTTGAATTTTATTTTTAGTTTTTTAAAATTTTGAGGCAGAGTCTCACGAAATTGCCCAGCTAGGCTTGAACTTGTGACCCTCCTGCCTCAGCCTCCACAATGCTGGGATTACGGGTGTACGAACCACACCGGACTAAAAGAAAGGCATTCTAAGCCACTGCAGTCTCAGTTGCCAGACTATAATAATCTTTTAAGACTGCTATAATTTGGTCCTGGAATGTTCCTCAAAGGCCCATATGTTAGAGGCTTGGTTGTCAACCTGTGGCATTATCAGGAGGCAGACGCCTAGGTGAGGAAGTTAGGTAAGAGGGGGCATGCCTGTAAAGGGGATACTGGGACCCTGGCCCTTCCTGTCTCTGTCTTTCTGTCTCTCTCTATGTCTTTCTCTCTCAATCTCTCTCCCTCCACCTCTCTGTTTCCAGCTACCATGATGTTAACAGGCCTCCTTTACAATGTAATACCCACCATGTTGTACTATACCACCAAAGGCCAAAAGTACCAGGGCCCAAAAACAATGGACTGAAACCTCTAAAGCCAAGAGCCCAAACAAACCTTTCCTTCCTTCTAAGCTGCTTTTTTAAACTATTGCTTCACTATGATGGAAAGCTAACTAACATAAAAACTTTTCTCTGCAGTTCAGAAGGGCTGTATCATTGTTATACATAACACCCCCAAATTACTACAGTCCAAGTGCCATTTTGGACTTCCAATTCAATTAGTGACTTAAGCCATGTCTTCTGACATTCCTACCAAATTCCCATGGAAATAAACATGGAAAGTTTTAAGTGGCAAATAAGCTGAAGAAAATGGTTATTTAGGCCAACTTCCAGGAAGATGGTGGAGAGGTGAACAGTAGAGAAACAGCCTCTCTGAGATCTGGTGTCCAGACACTGGCATATAGTAACATGAAGAAGAGAAGAAGGAGGGAAGTGTGTCGGGTACACAGCAAGGATCTGAAGTGAGAAGTGAAGCCCAAGGGGAGAGTGAGGAAAAAGACTTCAAAGGAGGAAGGGGTGGCAAGTGGCACTTTCTCCCTGAGCCCTGTCTCACTGTGTGGGAAGGGTGGCTCAAACCTGCAGACACATGGTGACTACTGGCGACCCCAGAGGCCTGCATGGAGAAACACACCAGTGGAACAGAGCAGTGGATTCAGCAGACTGCAGTGGCTGGTGAGTTATTTGGGTTCAGACATCCCCCAGGAGAGGGTGATTGGCTGATAGCCATCTTAGAGAAGGGGCAATTGAGCTCAGAACTGAGCAGCTGTGGACTGGCTCCATCAGGGTGAGGGAGGCAGAACCTAGTTCAAGTCATCAGAAGGTCAAGGAACCAAGTACAAGTTGGCAGGGAGCCCCAAATTCAAGCTGGCAGGAGACACATGGGGTGTTGCAGGTTGAACAAATTGGGTTCCAGCCTCAAAGCCAGAAACCAGCTGAGCTTCAGAACTAAAGGTACAGACTTGCTGGGATTATCCATTACCCTACCATAAATCTACAGCCGGCTTGTTGGGATTAATCAACACAGATCTGGGCTCTGTGTGTTCCATTTTTCTGCCAGTGACAGCAGAGAGATGCCTTAAAGTGGACAGTTTTTTTCTTATTTTTTTCCTTTTCTTGTTTTTTTTCCTTTTTTCTTGATTGTTCTTGTTTTTATATAAGTGAGAACACTGCTTCTAGTTTTTTTGTTGTTCTTGCTCTGTTCTGTTCCTATTTTTATTTCTTTCTTCTCTCCCTCTTGTCTTCACCAGTTCCCCAAAATTTGCATAACCTTCCTTTGTCCTCCAGCCATCTAATCTCTTCCTCTTCTTCTATTTCTCAATTTTCCCCCCTAAACCATTTCAAATATTCCCCCTTGAGGGTAAAATCACCATTCTGAGGGGATATTTACTGTATAAAATTTTCTGCTTTGTATCAGATTTTGTTATATAACCACAAATCTAGTTCATACGGTTAAAGGTGGCAGATCAACAGTTACCACAATTTCTCATTTTCTAGGCTGGGTTTGATGCTATAGTTATTGTTGATTGTACTACTTTAGCCAAGGTGACATAATTGTTCTAACCAGTTGTTCTTCCTGGTACGCCAAGATGGAGACTGCCTAAGGGTCATAAACAATGCCATAGGCCAGTGCCAAAGAATCAAGGGGTAGGCCAAATAGGCAGCAACTTCTCATCCCCAATAAATTGAAGAGGTACGATCTTGCAACAGACTCAAAACCCAAAAACTAGCTATACTTGGAAGACATTTCTGAGAAGTTGACATTTCTGAGAAGTCATCATTTCCTAAGAGCTCTAAATTCTAGCAGTAAAGATACTTGCCATGTGCAATTTATAAGCATCAACCTAGGAATTAAATTTTTTAAAAACAGAATGTGAGATGACATATAAGCAAGATGCAGTCCCAAACTTCCTACTCACCAAAGGCAAACCAGGGAACAATGAGGTGGAACAATTTGAAACCCAACCCCAGGACTCTCTGAAGTGGTAACAGTGGAAGAAACACAGCAAATGAATGAGGCTCTAGAAAAAATCAAATCAGAAACAGTTTCTCAGATAACTACAGAGATGATGATCATAACGAAAGACATGATTAGTGATTCTACAGCAGATACAGATAAAAAAATAGAGAAGCTCAGTAAAATGATGGAAACCATGAAAGTCCAACACAGGAAAGAAATGGAATGAAACAGACTCAAACAGATATCCAGGAGATTAAAAATTCTATTGAAAGTATATGCAGCAGAATGAGCCAATGTAAGGACAGAATTGCAGTTACAGACGACAAGATTGTAGTTAATGATCATGAAAAGAAAGATGTCTTAAAGCTAGCAAGGGACCATGAAAAATGGTCAATCCACCAGCTGCTAAATGATGCAAAGAAGAATAACATAAGACTGATCAGAGTCAATGAAGAAACAGGAGATAATGCAAATGACATAAAAAACCTGTTCACAGAAGTAATGGCACAAAACTTCCCAAGCAGGGAAAAAAAAATTGGCATACAGATAAGTGAGGCTTATAGAACTCCAATTAGCCATAATAATAAAAAAAATCTACACCAAGGTATATAATAGATCTGTACATTGAAAACTACAGTACTCTGAGAAAGGAGATTGAAGAGGATAGCAGAAAATGCAAAGACATCCTTTGCTTTTGAGTAGGAAGAACCAACATAATAAAAATGGCCAAACTTCCAAAATTGTTATACAGATTTAATGCAATCCCAATCAAAACACCAATAGTAGTGCTCACTTCGGCAGCACATATACTAAAAATATCAATAGCATATCTCACAGAATTAGAGAAAACAATCCTAAAATTCACTTGGAACCAGAAGAGGCTCAGAATAACAAAAGCAATTCTGAGCAACAAAGGCGAGGTAGGAGACATCACAATCCCCAAATTGGAATTATACTACAAAGCTACTGTGATAAAAATAGCATGATACTGGCAAAAAAACAAACCTGAGGATCAATGGAACACATTAGAAGATGCAGAAACAACTCCAAACACACTCAGCCACCTTATCTTTTTTTTGGTACCAGGGACTGAACTCAGGACCTTGCACTTGTGAGGCAGGTGGTGGCACCACTGAGCAAAATAATCCCCAGCCCACAACCACCTTATCTTTGACAAAGAGGCCAAACACCTTCACTGAAAGATAGCCTCTCTGAGAAGTGGTGCTGGAAAAACTGTCTTTCCATACAACAAAGACTAAAACTAGACCCATAATCTTTTACCATGCACTAAACTAAAATCAAAATGGACCAAAGATCTAAATATTGAAACAGAAACATTAAATCTCCTGGAAGATAGAACAAGTAGAACACTTGACATATGAGTAGACAGATTTTATGAAAACAAAACTCCAACTGCACAGGAAATATCACAAAGAATCAACAACTGGGATCTCATCTTACCAAAAAGCTTTTGCACAGCAAAAGAAAGAACCAGCAGAGTGAAGAGACAACCCACAATGTGGGAAAAACTTTTTGCCAGCTGTTCCTCAGACAAAGGACTACTATCTAAAATATATAAAGAACTCAAAAAAAAATCAGAACCCCAAATTTAAAGACCCAATTCAAATATGGGCATCTGAAATGAAAAGACACTCCTCAGATGAAGAATTAGAAACGGCAAATAAATATATTGAAAAAATGTTCAACATCATTGGTCATTTGAGAGATGCAAAATAAAACAACACT